CTGGCGCTTCAGCAGCATGGCCTTCTGCTCACAGCTGGGGTACAGCTTCAGGGCACTGCTCTGCATGGCTGCGACACACAGCACAGTTAGCCACCCTCAGGAACTGCCCTTGGGGCTGGACATCAGCCCTGCATCCTCAAATTTTCCAGAATAAACTCTCCTGGGTCAGTTATCCACCCCTCAGGAACTGCCTCCTTTGGGGCTGCCCATCAGCTCTGGATCCTGAAATCTTCCAGGAAAATTCTCCTGGGTCAGTTATCCACCCTCCCTCAGGAACTGCCTTTGGGGCTGGACATCAGCCCTGCATCCTTATATTTTCCAGAAAAAACCTCTCCTGGGTCAGTTATCCACCCTCCCTCAGGAACTGCCTCCTTTGGGGCTGGACATCAGCCCTGCATCCTCAAATTTTCCAGAAAAAAAATCTCTCCTGGGTCAGTTATCCACCCTCCCTCAGGAATTGCCTTTGGGGCTGGACATCAGCCCTGCATCCTCAAATTTTCCAGAAAAAAAACTCTCCTGGGTCAGTTATCCACCCCTCAGGAATTGCCTCCTTTGGGGCTGGCCATTATCCCTGGATACTGAAATCTTCCAGAAAAAAACTCTCCTGGGTCAGTTATCCACCCTCCCTCAGGAACTGCCTCCTTTGGGGCTGCCCATCAGCCCTGCATCCTCAAATCTTCCAGGAAAACTCTCCTGGGTCATTTAGGCCTCCCTCAGGAATTGCCTTTGGGGCTGGACATCAGCCCTGGATACTGAAATTTTCCAGAAAAAACCTCTCCTGGGTCAGTTAGCCACCTCTCAGGAACTGCCTCCTTTGGGGCTGGACATCAGCCCTGGATCCTTAAATTTTCCAGAAAAAAATCTCTCCTGGGTCAGTTATCCACCCTCCCTCAGGAATTGCCTGCCTTTGGGGCTGCCCATCACCCCTGGATCCTCAAATTTTCCAGGAAAACTCACCTGGGTCAGTTATCCACCCTCCCTCAGGAACTGCCTTTGGGGCTGCCCATCAGCCCTGCATCCTTAAATTTTCCAGAAAAAAACTCTCCTGGGTCAGTTAGCTCTCCCTCAGGAACTGCCTCCTTTGGGGCTGCCCATCACCCCTGGATCCTCAAATTTTCCAGAATAAACTCTCCTGGGTCAGTTATCCACCCTCCCTCAGGAACTGCCTTTGGGGCTGGCCATTATCCCTGGATACTGAAATCTTCCAGGAAAACTCTCCTGGGTCAGTTATCCACCCCTCAGGAACTGCCTGCCTTTGGGGCTGCCCATCAGCCCTGGATCCTCAAATTTTCCAGAAAAACTGTCCTGGGTCAGTTATCCACCCCTCAGGAACTGCCTCCTTTGGGGCTGGACATCAGCCCTGCATCCCTAAATTTTCCAGAAAAAAACTCTCCTGGGTCAGTTATCCACTCTCCCTCAGGAATTGCCTCCTTTGGGGCTGGCCATTATCCCTGGATACTGAAATTTTCCAGAATAAACTCTCCTGGGTCAGTTATCCACCCCTCAGGAACTGCCTGCCTTTGGGGCTGGACATTATCTCTGGATACTGAAATTTTCCAGAAAAAAAAATCTCTCCTGGGTCAGTTATCCACCCCTCAGGAACTGTCATAGGGCTGGACATCAGCCCTGGATACTGAAATTTTCCAGAAAAAAACTCTCCTGGGTCAGTTATCCACCCTCCCTCAGGAACTGCCTCCTTTGGGGCTGCCCAGCACCCCTGGATCCTTAAATTTTCCAGAATAAACTCTGCTGTCTCAGTTAGCCCTCCCTCGGGAACTGCCTCCTTTGGGGCTGCCCATCATCCCTGCATCCTCAAACTTTCCAGAAAAACTCTCCTGGGTCAGTTATCTACCCTCCCTCAGGAATTGCCTCCTTTGGGGCTGGCCATTATCCCTGGATACTGAAATCTTCCAGGAAAATTCTCCTGGGTCAGTTATCCACCCTCCCTCAGGAACTGCCTCCTTTGGGGCTGGCCATTATCCCTGGATACTGAAATTTTCCAGAAAAAAAACTCTCCTGGGTCAGTTATCCACCCTCAGGAACTGCCTCCTTTGGGGCCGCCCATCAGCCCTGGATCCTCAAATTTTCCAGGAAAAAAACTCTCCTGGGTCACAGACCAAGAATTGTAAAAGAAAAAATGCAACTTTGTGATCTCATTTTTCAGCAAGACCCTTCTAAGACAAATCCTTTATTAATAATAGAATAGGTTTTTCTTCCCTGCAAGTTTCCAAAGACTGTTTTCACAGTTTTAGAAATGACAGCACAAATTGTAATTAAAGTCAGAACCAAATTGCTAACTTTAGCAAGTCAAAAATTTGCAGTTATCTATTTACCACTGGAAAAAAATTCTCTTAATTGAGCAATGCAAAATTCTGATAATTCACAGTATGCATTGTTGAAATTCCCAAGTGTTTGTTCTGTTCATTACCCAGCTCACAAATTATTACAAGCAAAGTTGAGCTTTAAAAAAAACCACCTAAATTAAGTGAAGAACTTTTAAATGCAGTAACTCTCTTCACTGATAGCTCTAGCAAAAATCACAAATCTGTTGTAACTTAGTTAAACCAAACTTGTCACAGTAGCCCCATCCCGTTGGTGTTTATATATAAATTGCTGGCACACATCACATAATAAAATTTATCTTGTGTTATAACACAATAATTCTTTTAGAAAGGATGAAAAATGCACCCAAATGGCTCAAATGCAAATGGATTTCAAAGTGAGGCAGAAATAAATGATCAGCAGCTGATACTTACTCATCAAATCCTTGAACATGGTTTTCTCATGTGTGAGGAGATGATCAATGATGGATCTCCAGCTGCAGGAGAGAAAGAAGGGATTAGGTATCCAGGGAAAGCTGTGGTGTGGATGCACCTCAGAAATTACTTTGGTCAAACTTTTCATACAAGGAAACAGTTTCAGGCAGGATTTGTGTGCAGACTCTTTTCTGGAGCAGAGTTAGTGCTGAGATTCATTTTTAACATTATCCCATTCCATAAGAAAGAAATAAATGGAATATTTTCCCCAATGTTACTCTTCTCCTTTAAAGCCTTTCCTTATAAATTCAGAATACAAGCTTGGAGTGCTGCAATTCCATATCTTACTGAGTGCAGGAAGTGTCCATCTGGAAAAAAGATGGATCCATGTACAATTCCAGCACTTCTTTCTTCCAGGCTCTCTTGGTGTAGGCGTACCCACTCAGGGAGCTGAGCAGCTGAGCACCAGCACGGAAACTGGGAACGTTGTAGGCACTGGGGGCGAGCACAGAAATGATCAATACGGGCTTTTTTTAAATTCCAAAAGAGATTCCAGCTCACAAAAGGGTTGGTTTGAATGAGATCTTTAGGAAGGGATTGTTCCCTGGCAGGGTGGGCAGGGCTGGGATGGAATTCCATCCCTGCATCCCTGGCAGTGCCCAAGGCCAGGCTGGGCACTGGGGACAGTGGGAGGTGTCCCTGCCATGGCAGGGGTGGCACTGGGTGGGCTTTGAGGTCCTTTCCAACCCAAAACATTCCAGGACTCCATGCCCTGTGTCCCCACTGGATAACACCCATATTTCCCACATTTGTGAGAAAAACTAGGAAGGTGACAGGGAGAGAGGAAGTTTTTGGGCTTCCTGGTGGATCCTGGGAGCTGCCCATGCTCTGCTGCCCATCCCCATCCCCTGACAGGCACAGAAAGGGGAGATCTGAGTAAAACCCAAAACCCCAGGTGGGGCAACCAGGGCTCAAACAACAACAGGTTCAGCTCCTGAGGGGAAGCACTGCTCAAACCCATCAGAATGGGAACAGAGAATGGAGAAACAAAAAGATGAGGGAGGGAAATGGCAGGAGCAGGGGGAGACTGGCCTGTGGTTCCTCAGGTAGGGGAACACGAAGTAGAGCAGGCGGGAGATGAGGGGCACGGCCTTGTCCTTCTCGTCACTGCGGTACACCACGTCCAGCAGGGAGGCCAGCACCTGCACAGGGACACAGAGCTCTGCACACTCTGCTGCCACTGCTGCAATGTTCCAGCCTGGTTCAGGATGGGAATCTGTGCACTGCAACAGCCCCCAAAAGACTGGCACTCCTGTTTAATGTATCAGGAAAATTCTCCTCACAGAACTCACAGGATCACAGAATGACCAGGTTGGGAGAGACCTCCAAGACCATCGAGTCCAGCCCAGCCCCAACTGAACCCTGGCCCCCAGTGCCACATCCAGGCTCTGTTAAACACACCCAGGGATGGGGACTCCACCCCCTCCCCGGGCAGCCATTCCAGAACTTTCTCACCCTGGCTGNATTTGTTTGGCAGCCCAGGGAAGGGCAGGGGGAGGCTCACCCTGGATCAGGGGCAGGTACAGGTGGTACTGGTCCATCTCCCCGCTGAAGACGGCGAACGCCTGGCGCTTCAGCAGCATGGCCTTCTGCTCACAGCTGGGGTACAGCTTCAGGGCACTGCTCTGCATGGCTGCGACACACAGCACAGTTAGCCACCACCAGGAACTGCCTCCTTTGGAGCTGGACATCACCCCTGGATACTCAAATTTTCCAGAAAAAAAACTCCCCTGGGTCAGTTATCCACCCTCCCTCAGGAATTGACTCCTTTGGGGCTGCCCAGCACCCCTGCATCCTTAAATTTTCCAGAAGAAAAAATCTCTCCTGGGTCAGTTATCCACCCCTCAGGAATTGCCTCCTTTGGGGCTGCCCATCAGCCCTGGATCCTGAAATCTTCCAGAAAAAAACTCTCCTGGGTCAGTTATCCACCCTCCCTCAGGAACTGCCTTTGGGAATGGCCATCAGCCCTGCATCCTCAAATTTTCCAGAATAAACTCTCCTGGGTCAGTTATCCACCTCCCCTCAGGAACTGCCTTTGGGGCTGGACATCACCCCTGGATACTGAAATCTTCCAGGAAAAAATTCTCCTGGGTCAGTTAACCCTCCCTCAGGAACTGCCTCCTTTGGGGCTGCCCATCAGCCCTGGATCCTTAAATTTTCCAGAAAAAACCTCTCCTGGGTCAGTTATCCACCCTCCCTCAGGAACTGCCTCCTTTGGGGCTGCCCATCAGCCCTGGATTCTCAAATCTTCCAGGAAAATTCTCCTGGGTCAGTTATCCACCCCCCCTCAGGAACTGCCTTTGGGGCTGCCCAGCACCCCTGGATACTGAAATCTTCCAGGAAAACTCTCCTGTGTCAGTTATCCACCCTCCCTCAGGAACTTCCCTTGGGGCTGGCCATCATCCCTGCATCCTCAAATCCTCCAGGAAAACTCTCCTGGGTCAGTTAGCCACCCTCCCTCAGGAATTGCCTGCCTTTGGGGCTGCCCATCACCCCTGGATCCTCAAATTTTCCAGAATAAACTCTCCTGGGTCAGTTATCCACCCTCCCTCAGGAATTGACTGCCTTTGGGGCTGCCCATCACCCCTGGATCCTCAAATTTTCCGGAATAAACTCTCCTGGGTCAGTTAGCCCTCCCTCAGGAACTGCCTCCTTTGGGGCTGCCCATCACCCCTGGATCCTCAAATTTNAATAAAGTAATTAATTATCCTTCTGATATCCATGGAGTCCTCCTCATCATTTCTCCCTGCCCCGGGGGTGGGCTGCTTTTCCACCAGGCCCAGCGGGACCTGGGGAAGTATATAGTAATATAGTATAATATATATATATATATATAGAGTATATATACTATATAGTATGTAGCGTGTGCATATATATATATGTGTGTGAGTGTGTGTATATATATATTATATATATGCTATATAGTAGATATATGCTATATATACTATATAGCATATAGTATACATAGCATATATACACTATATATATATAGTGTATATATATTTATTGTACTATAGACCTATATATACTATATATATATTATATATATATTATATATATATACTATATATATAGTATATATAGGTCTATAGTACAATAAATAATATTGTATAATAAATATAACATAGTATAAATAATTGCATAATATTATATATATAATATATATATACTATATACTATTTTTACTCTCTACATAAAAGTACTATAATATATTTAATAAATAATCTGGTATAATAAAGTAATTAATCATCCTTCTGATATCAATGGAGTCCTCCTCATCATTTCTCCCTGCCCCGGGGGTGGGCTGCTTCTCCACCAGGCCCAGCGGGACCTGGGGAGGCATATAGTAATATAGTATAATGTATATATACTATATAGTATATAGTGTGTGCATATATATATAGTGTATATATATATTTATTGTACTATAGACCTATATATACTATATATATATTATATATATATACTATATATATATTTACTATATACTATTTATACTCTCTCTATAAACGTACTATAATATATTTAATAAATAATCTAGTACAATAAAGTAATTAATTATCCTTCTGATATCCATGGAGTCCTCCCCATCGTCTCTCCCTGGCACAGGGGTCGTACCTGTGGGGGCGCCGCGGCCGAGGCAGCGCAGGGCNTGGCCCCTCTGGATGTGCTCAGTGTCCCAAGGTCCTTCCCAAACTGAGGAGCCAGTGCTGGGCACAGACTCCAGGTGTGCCCTCAGCAGTGCAGGGGCAGAGTGAGCTCCCTGCTCCTGGGACAGACCGGGACAGACACAGGGACAGACACAGGGACAGAGACAGGGACAGCCAGGGACAGACACAGGGACAGGCAGGGACAGACACAGGGACAGACACAGGGACAGACACAGGCACAGCCACAAGGCCAGGCAGGCCCAGGCAGGGCTGAGGCCCCTCTCTCTCCCTGAGTCTCCTTTTCTCCAGGCCGAGCACCCCCAGCTCCCTCAGGGCTCCTCACAGGGTTTGTGTTCCCAGCCCCTCTCCAGCCTCGTTGTCCCCTCTGGATGTGCTCAGTGTCCCAAGGTTCTTCCTAAATTTGAGGCCATTTCCTCTCCTCCTTTCCCTTGGGACAGCAGAGCCCAACCCTCCCTCAGCGCCCTCATGTCAGGGAGTTGTGCAGAGCAATTCCCAGAATTCACAGAATTCCCAGAATCCCTGGGTTGGAAGAGACCTTCAAGGTCATCATGTCCCACCCAGCCTCAACAGCTCAACCAAACCCTGGCACCCAGTGCCACATCCAGGCTTTGCTAAGGCACCTTTCAGGAGCTGTGCACAGTGATAAAATCCTCAGCTTAAAAACCCCACAGATGAGAGGGCCCCACTGACCTCTGCCAGCAGAGAAAGGGCTTGCACACTGTAGATTGAAGGAGCAGAGGCAGAAACCATTGAAGATGGTGCCACTGATGTATCTAAAAAAAGCAAAATAATGAAGTTTTCTCTTCAGACAGGTTTAAATGCTGCTGTTTGTTAATCTGCTGCCCAAACAGAACATTTATGTGCAAATTGGTGTTCATGAAATATGAAATCATGCAAACCACACATCATCAAACCCCTCGTGCTCCTCACTGCCTGCAGCAGAGGAGAGGGAGCAGCAGAGTCAGGGAAAGTCAAGTTACCATTGACATCCTCCGTGTTGAATTCATCTGGTAAAATCTGAGGCTGAGCTTTCACTTCCAAATTCCTGCTCAGCCAACTGGTCTGCTCCAGGGAAGAGCCAGCAATGGTGCCCACAGCCTCCAGGATCTTCTGGGTCACCTCCTGTAATGCAACCAAAGTGGCATCAGGTATTTAATTGGTAGGATTAATTCCCAGGGAAACGAGGAGCTGCAATGAAACCAAATTCAAACAAAGCAAGGCAGAGGCCGTAAAATGACATTTCCTGTCATTTTGTTGGCAAGACTCTGAAGCAGAAGGGGAGATTGAATTTCTTTGTTGGCACAGGAAACCCAAACCCAGGCAGGTAAAACCCACCCCGTGTTCAAACTGTGCTGGTGAAATAAGGCAGAACAGGAGGGGGATCCTGCTCTGCTCCTTTCTCTACACAGCTGAGCTCAGAGCCATTCCCATTGCCAAGCCCAGCTGGGAGCTCCAAGGATTAATCAATTTTCCTAGACAGCTTGGAGATTTCAATGTCCACACACACAACTTGAACTCATGACATCCCACTTGTGTTACCAGCTCAGTTCTAAGAAAAATAAAAAAAAAAACAAAACAACCCAGATTTGAGGAGATTTCAAGCATTTGGGACAAAATTCTGTTTGATTCTCATGTTTGAGTCTGCCCTGTTCACCAGGCCTCAGCCAAAATGTGTGGATGCACATCCAGGCACTCCCAAAAAACAGGAATTCAGATCCAAAGCACAGATCAGATCATCTCCACTTGTCCTTACATGAACAGTGCCAGGTCTAGAACTCAAAGGAGAATTTGAACCCTCTGTACCTGCAGGTCTTTCTGGTCCTTTTTGCTCTCCAGGGTGGGTGTCCTTGTCACAAAGTCATTGAGGATGCTGGGGGAGAGCAGAGCACCCTCAGTGAGGAATCACAATGTGCAGCCCCAGAGGAAGCTCTGCTCTCTGCCACAGTACCTGAGGAGGAGGAAGTGGCCAGGAGGAGCCAAGTTCAGCTGCACTGACTCTCTGAGGAGCCCCAACAAGGGCTGGAAATTCTCCTGCAGGGCTGGGACAGGCAGTCTGCCAAAAACAAAAAAACCAAACCAAAGCGCACCTGAGTGAAGGTGGGGTTAAGGAAAGAACAAAAACCAACAAATAAGAGGAACTTGGTGGCCTGAAAGCTTCAGGATCAGTGCTGCCCTTCCTGAGTGTTGGTGTGACAGCCCTGGCACTCTGTGTGTGTGTCAACAACCAAGGGACAACACAATTCCTGCAGGGAAGTGTTCTGGGACATGGAGATCCAAGGACAGAAAAATGGCAATGCTGGCTGTTCCCTCCTTGGAGTCAAACAGAAAATTCTCTTTTAGAAGGAATGAGTTACCTCTGAATGAAAGCAAAACTGAACTGCAGCACTGGGATATCCACCAGAGAGGATTTCTGAAAAACAAAAGCAAACCCACACTTATTTGTTATCTTCTTTTCTTCTTCCTTTGGTTGTGTAAAAGAGCTGTTTAAAAATGCAGAACATGTCATACCTCCTCCCCCTTGATCTGTGCTGGTTTCTTCACCACCTCTTTGACCAGACACAAGATGGTGTCGATTTTCAGCGTGTTCAGGGCACAAATTAAATCCACCAGAATGAGCTGGGATGCACTGGCCACTGGGAGAATCTGACAGGAGAAAACCAAACACAACACACGCATTTCAAAATGAAATGTCAATCACAGAGCAAAACCAAACCCAGCCCTTGCCATTGAAGGTCTCCCAACACCTCATGAAACAAACTGGATTCTGCCCCAGAGAAAGCAGCAAAGGAAGAGTTCTCCCAGAATAAATAATGATTTCCAGAGAGCACAGCTCTCATTTTCTATGGAAATTGAGCTGATTAATGCTTTAAAATACAACTGGTCAATTGCAATCCAGTATTGAATAAAAAAATGGCTTTTACACTCAGATTTAAACCCACAATGTGGGTTTTATTTGATTATTTATTGAGGTTTAATTGCAGTCCTGATGCTTTTTCTAACTAAGAGGATTTCAGATTTTTCAGTCCTATTTAAAAAACACCAAAGAACCTACAGAATTGAGAACTGACCATATAAATGTAACATTTGCCTTTATATAGGAAATAAATGGGTGCTTTTCTTTAGCTTCACCTTGGTTTTACTGTGACTCCTGTGAGGTTTTTTGCTGTTCCACACTGCAGCAGTTGCTGCCATCAGCTGGATTCCAAGGTGTGCTGTCAAGGGATTCAGGAAATCCAATATTTTTGTTCTTAATGTCTGTAAAGGGAGGAAAAGAATTATTAATGTAAGGCAAAGACCAGCTCCTGGTTTATAAAACATTATTTCTTTTTCCAGGACATACAGAAAATATGGTATGTTTAATCCCTAGGGAAATGAGGAGCTGCAATGAAACCAAATCCCACGTAAAAATTAAAGTTTAAAATCAGTAAAAATAAAAGAACAATGTAAAAATAAAAGAACAATAAAAGAACTCCATGTAAAATGCACTGGGGAGGATGAGAAGATTAAAAAAATCAGGATTTTAAAAGAGCTCCCACCTTGGTTGCTTTGAAGTAGACTGAAGAGGAGCCCTTGGCTGTCCCAAAGAAGTCAGTCGGTCTTTTTTGGGAGTCTTCCCTCTTGATGACCCCCCAGAGCAGGCTCATGGTGTTCACAATCCGGGGCAGCTCCTCCAGGATGGCATTCCTGGCATTCCTCAGGTTGGCAGGTTCAGCTGAACAGGATGACTGGGAGAAAAAAAAAACCCCAAAATATCAATTTAAAATCACAAGAGCCTAACAATTGTAGGGAACACATCGCATTATAAACACAAAACCTTATAAACCCAAAAGGAAATAAACCAGTTTGTTAAAAACAGAGGAGTGATACTTGCACCACCAAGATCTTGATGAACAATGACTGAAAATTCACTTTGCAGGCGGCAAATACAGAAAAATTGATCTGAGTCCTTTCACCTTGAGTCAGTTGGGTTCTTTGGGAGTGCTCTGAGGCCTCTCCAAGGTTATTTCCTTGTGCAATTCCCTGTTTCTGTTCACCTGGCAGGGAAGGGGATGTGCTCTGCTCCCAGGGGTTCCCATGTACCTTTTTTGTGGGATGGGGATGATCCAGAAGGCAGAAGTGCCCGATGGTTGTCAGCCCTTCCAGAAGGGTCAGGGGGTAATCAGGAGTCACATTTTCTCTTTTACAAGTGAAGCTTTGTAAGGAAGAAAAAAAAAAAACCCCAAACATGTTAATAAGCCAAGTGGTATTTCCTTGATTAAAAATTCCTGTTTCTAGTCCATAGCTAAAATTGGAGGGAATATTCGGTGTATTAGGTCAGGAATATCAAAATGAAGGGATCCATAAATCTGGGAGCTTTTATACTTGGATGGGAGGCAGAGGGAGCCAGGAAATATCAGAGCTGCTGCTCCTCTCTCCTCTCTTCCTCCAGGTGCATCAGGAATTAAGGATCAAACTCTGGGACCCACACTGCTGACCCAGGGGGAACTCCCAGCTCTGTGGAAAGGAGAATTTATGGAATAACAAATCCCCCCTTGTCACAGACAGATTTTATGAAAAATCCTTTTCTTAGGATTTGTCCTCCAGAGAAGCTGAGAGGCCTCAGGAACAAAATGTGAACATTGATTATCTGCTGCTGTGGGATGCAACAGGTGCATCTGGGATTGGTCTCATGTGGTTGTTTTTAATTAATGGCCAATCACAGCCCAGCTGGCTCGGACTCTCTGTCTTTGTTATTCATTCTTTCTTTTTCTATTCTTAGCCAGCCTTCGGATGAAATCCTTTCTTCTATTCTTTAGTATAGTTTATATATCATAATAAATATAAATATAATAAAATATATAAATATATAAATAAATATAAATATATATATGATAAATATAAATATATATATGATAAATATAAATATACATGATAAATATTAATATATATGATAAATATTAATATATATATGATAAATATATATCATAATAAATCAAGCTTTCTGCAACATGGAGTCAGATCCTCGTCTCTTCCCTCAACCTCAGAGCCCTGTGAACACGGTCACACCCCAGGTAAGGTGGCTCTTACCTGGCTGATGTTTTGGCAGAAGTCTTCACAGCTTCATTCTCGTACTGCTTGACAAGCTCATCCAGGTTTTTACAGATCTGCACCACAAATGGGGCCACGGTCCAGCCCAAGGACTTGCCAAAGTAGGGCAGGGAGCTGGTGACCAAGGCCACCCATGTGGGGTGCATGCCGTGGCCGTACTCGGGCTGGAGCCCCCTCACCACGGCAGAGACAAACAAGCCCTGCGAGGTGATGGGGTGTGGGTACACGTACTGCATGGCCCCGATGGCCTGCTGGAAGTTCAGAGCCTGCTGCCACTCCCTGGACAGGTCCGGCTGGTTCTCCTGCTCCTCAGGCCTCTGGCCAAGGTGGTGCTCCAGGACAATCAGCACCTGCAGCAGCTTCAGCAGCTCAATCTGGAGAGGGTGCTCGCTCCAGATCTGATCGTGGCCAAAGTTGATGAGGCTCTCCTGGAAGATCTCCTGCTCCTGGGGGTTGGTGCCACCGGCCAGCAGCTGGTAGCGCTTGTGGCTGACGTACATGGAGGCCGAGAGCGAGAGCAGCACCAGCTCCTGCACCTGGCACCGCCCCAGCAGCTCCCGGATCAGCTCCACGCTCCGGGGCTCGCCCGCCTTGGCCGTGCTGGCCAGCTGGGCCATCATCCTGATGAGCACCTCCACGCTCTTGACCTGCACGTCCCTGTTGGCCAGCAGGTCCCTGTGGCTCAGGGGCAGGCAGCAGGGGTAGTAGGAGCGCAGGAAGCGCAGGCACAGCGAGGTGAGCAGCTCGATCAGCAGCGAGTGCGGGCACGCCGCGGGAGACTGAGGCTGCAGCTTCCCGTAGAAGCTCTGCCCTACCAGAGCTTCCTGGTGGCGAGCCAGGAGGTTGTAGATGAGGTTCAGGTGTGCTGTGGAGCTGGTGTCCACGCTGGTGGTGGCCACAGCCTCCATGAACTCCTTGGGGTTGGTTTTGAGCACGGCCTCCAGCACGGAGAAGGCGTAGAGCACCCGCCGGGAGTCGTAGGGCTGCAGGTACAGCAGGGTGTGCTTGAACAGGGCCTCTGCCAGCTCCTGCTTCTCCTTCTGCTGCCTCAGCAGCCTGCTCTGCGCCATCTCCTGCAGCTCCAGCTCCATCTCCTCGTCACTGGACAGAGACTCCGAGGCCTGAGTCCTCTCGGAGTCGGCCCTGACGAGGTTGAGCCCCGCGCTGGACCG